TATTTTGGAGTTTGGAGGCCTGTAAACATTCACAAACATGGCTCAAACAGGGCCTTGTATTTGGATAGCCAAATATTCAAAGGATTCAAAGTCAACCAGGTTTACTTTTCTACACTCCCACAGTTCACTCGCCTTTTTAAACAGTCTGAAACAAAACAAAAAATTCAAGATTTTGCTTAAGTGACTGATTGAAAATTATTTTCTTGAAAGATCTTATGTTAATGAAAGCAAGGTTTTATACCTTGGTTGGTATTGTCTCTGTTGAGCTCCATATTTTTTTTGTTTTCAAGTTGAATGGCTTGTTACTGTTTAATGTTTTGGCTCTGTGTGTTTGCTATGAGATTTTACATACATCGCCATTTTGAGGCTCCAGTTTTTCCTGGCGAGAATTCATTCTGATAAATTACCACTGGAACCCAAAGCATATCACAAGAAAATGGTTTGAAAGTCCTGGTTACCAACACTGCTCTCTTTCATTGCACATGAAGAAGAAGACAGTGATCTGATCTGGGTTGGATTGTTGGTTCTTTGGCTTTACAACAAGTGTTCCCCAGTGGGGGCTACCAGTCTGGTTATTGTCATTAGAATTACCACATTGTTTCTCAGTCCTGTTTGTTGTTACAATGAGTTGCTATTAAAACCACTGGTGGGGTTATCTCAGTGTTTTGAGTCACAGGGAGGGTCGACACTTTCATTTCAATGACAGCCATCCTCAGTAGAAGATTGTTGAAGTCCTGTGTACTGAAGGGGCACATTTTGTGCTTATGTGTCCTTATATGCAGTGTGATCAAAATAACATATATATTTTTTTTATTTAAAGCTACAGTGTGTAATTTTCAGCGACATCTAGCGGTCAGACTGCAGACTGCAGCAACATGAACGTCTCCCCCCCACTGCTTCTCCCCCCCAACAGTACGGCGAGCGTTACGGGACAAAATGTCTTCCACGACGTCGGAATCACCTACCTTCTCAAGTGATGAGGTTTGTTTACATAGATAATTTTACAGATAGTATTTCATTAGTCTGTGTAGGGTATAGATTTCATGTAGACTTAAGATAATAAATATACCCGTTATTTTTTCTACGTCGTTGTGACGTTTTGGTGAGCTGCTTTGCATGGTGATATAAACAGACGAAGTAATTGTAGTCATTAGTTTAACAGCGAGATTGTGTTCACTGGAAGAATATATATTCCCCGTGGCATGGGGGTTACAAGGCGAGGAAGAGGGAGAGGAAGAGGGCAGAGAGGCCGGGGTGGGCGTGCAGCCAGGGCCAGGCGAGGGAGAGGTGCCAGCGGGGTGAGAGCAGAGGAGGAAAGGCTTGAAGATCTCCAAAGGAGCCGGAGAGAAGTAACCGAGGTATATATCAAGAAAATTATTTTACAGAAAATTACTGAATCATTACCTGGGAAACGTCAGGGACGTTGCTGAATAAGTATAATGGAGAGTAACAGCATCATCACGCAGCATGTTATTGTTTTAGACAGGTCTGAGCATCCTGTACTCCAAAAACTGCAGTGATATTAGACAATTGTGTGTGTAGGATTAATTACCTGTCCAAGAGAAAACTGGCAACTTGAGCGTCACTTTGAAAACCTTTTTCCTCCATCAGTGACTTCCATCGTGTAAATGCCGTGCCAATGTTGATCCGTGTTTTTTGCCGTTTCTTGTCACGTTTGCGTTTATTCTCGTCGTGTTTCCGCTTCTTAGATGACGGGGGTTCGGTGTCCGCGGCTTTTCGTTGTGATACAGAGTAGGCATGATCCTCCATTCGTCTGATGTTTGGCCACACAGTGCCAAACAGTTTGCAAAGTCACTCACGCCTGCCGCCTTGTTCACCTTTCTTGTTACTGAGGCGCAGTATACCTGCTTCTTCTTCTTCTTTGGTTTCAGGCAGACTAAACGCTTCTCAGGCATAATACTGCCATCTACTGTTCAGTACCGTCTCAGTTAATCTCTCTCAACTTGCCGTAGTTATTTTCGAGCGTAATGGGCGATCTCGCAATCGCTAGTTTGTTGCCTCTGCGCTTGCCGTAGCGCAAAGATGTCTGCCTCCATGGCTGTGAGACCCGCTCCTATGTAATTATAAATAACGAATTCTAAGGCAACGCAAATATTATGGTTAAAGGCTGAGCTCATAGGTGATGATAAATAACATAGTTATGTATAATATATTAAATTTCTGACTTTATATGCCTGTAATTATTACACACTGTAGCTTTAAATGTTTAAAAGCAGTCTAGCAAGAGAATTCTTAAAAATGTATATTTTGCCCAACTTTCTGGTACTTTGACTAACAAATAAGAAGGTAAAAAGTATTAACATTGTAGACAAGCGAGGAGCGAGGGAGAGAGTTGTCTGAGCTGGTAGAGGTGGAGAGAATAAGGGCCTTGATTCTTGGTTGCTCCAACATGTAGCTGTTTAAAACCACCAGTCAAGTTTTCTCAGTGTTTTCTCATGTTGGCAGGATCGGCACTGGCAGGCTTGTCAACTGCCAGTCAGTTAATTTTCATTTTAGCAGTGTAACACAAAAACACACCTTATAGTATGGATTATATAATAATATCAAAATATAATAATATTAAAGGCTGCCTTGTCCTCCTTGGAAGCTTGATATTCTCTCTCACCTACTGTATAAATATATATATATATATATATATATATATATATATATATATATATATATATATATATATATTTTTTTTTTTTTAATTTAAGGATTACTGCACTCGCACACTGTTGAAACAGAGGTTACTGTTCAATCAGCTCAGGTAACTGATTAATCACATGTCTTGCCTGGCTACTTGGCTACAAAAACCCCCAGAACAATCCAAATGCCAGAACTTTGGAAACTGTGTTTTTTAAAGAAAAATCTTGTTGCATCAGTAACTTCACATCTGCAAAAACGTTTTAATTATTACATTATGACATGTTTGCATTATGTATTGGCTGTATATTTAATAGATATCAAAGATAGTTTAAACTTAAATAATTTTGAAAGAGATATAAAATAATTCAACATACCTCACCATTATTTAAATATATTTCTGTAATTACTATGTCATTGTACATCATACAGTATGTGTTTTATTTAAGTAGCCGACAAAGGCGCGTGGTGGACATACTGTGTGTCGGGCCATAATAATAACTAGCCGGGGGCAGAGTGGGAAAGCTTTTCAAATATATAAAAAAAAAGATATGTAAAACATTTTATATCATTAAGTCTTGATGGTATTACTGCAAACAAATATAAATAAAAACAAAAAAACAATATCAAATAAATTTTTGAGCAAAAAAAAAAAAAAAAAAACACCCTAACCCCGGTATTATTTTGAAAACTAACATTCAAATGAACATTTTGACATCTGGAAAAACAATAAACAGAATAACTCTAACATAAAAGTCTACAGCACCATTAAGCACTGTAGAATTGGATGGGTTTCTTCAGTCTTATTTGTTTCCTTCTTTCAGTCAGTCGATATGAGAAGTTATTTCTCTGTTTTTTATTGCACTAGTTTTTAGTTCAATTATGATTCAGCTTCAATTTTATCTGAGAGTGAACATAGATTTAAATATCTGCAGCTACCATATTAAAAAAAAGTATTGGCTCGTATCTTTTTCTTACAACCTGCATGCATTTTCAAATGTTTTATTATTATGAGATGGAGACCAATAAAAGATATATCTGTATATTGTATTTTATTTATCTATTTATTTTGGGATCAATTCATAAGGGTTTAATGTTAAAGATTAAACAGAGAACCTCCAAAAATGCCTTACAATGCTGTGAGAGTCAAGGCCTTCATTTAAAACTATGTAAAATGCTAAAGTATTCATAGGAAATAGAGAAACACCTCTATTTATAGTGAGAAATTTATGATTTAACCTTTATTTAAATTCTAAATTAGTGTTTTTAATTAATCTCGTAGAGAGCATTACTAATTACAGAGGTATACGATTTTAGAGAATTTGTGGGCTTTGATTTATTTGAGTCCTTTTTATCACTGAGTTCTTAAATGGTTGATGATATTCTTATCATTATTTCCCTTTGGGTTGGCCCCAAGGGAAATCATGTTAATGGCTTGTACTTATATACCATCTTAACAAGTGAAATGACCGCAAAGCCGTTTACTCAAAATTTATTCATTCACACAAACGTTCACCCACTGAGTATAAAGCAACGTCATGCGGTTTGCATCTATCCAGAAGTGCTATACAGGATATAAATATTATTACAGATGTATATACAAGCAAAAAGTAATAGTTAGGGACTGTAAAAAGTTGTGTATAAATATAAATATGAATATGCACAGATTATACAGAATATACAGGAATGTTAGGAAAAGGATTATATATGTATTAGCGGTTTTATAATACAAGATAAATAGTGGCAGATAAGATTTACAGATTATATACAGATTGTATACAGATTGTGTATGTGTGTGAGGGGAACAGTCCATGGTATGTGTATGAGTGTGAGGCCAGTCCATATGTTATTATTATATGGGGGGATACAGTCCTTATAGTTGTGTCAAGAGGCGTTCAGGAGAAAGTGGGAAAGAAGCTGTTCGGGTGCCTGGTGGTTCTGGTCCGTAGGCTTCTGTAACGCCTTCCAGAGGGCAGGAGGGAGAAGAGTGTGTGTAGGGTGAGTGAAGTCCTTGGTGATTTTCCATTTCAGACATCGCTTCCTATAGATTTTCTTGATGGTAGGGAGCGGTGCCCCGCCTATGTGTTGGGCAGCTTTCACCACCCTCTGCAGCACCTTCTGGTCGACGACAGAGCAGTTCCCGTACCAAGCTGTAATACAGTTGGTGAGGATGCTCTCAATGGTGCAGCAGTAGAAGTTCGTGAGGATCTCTGAGGACAGGTGGTTCTTCCTTAGGGTCCTCATGAAAAAGAGGCGCTGGTGTGCCTTCTTGATGAGTTTGGAGCAGCTGGTCATCCAGGTCAGGTCCTCGGAGATGTGGACTCCCAGGAACTTAAAGCTGTCCACACGCTCCACCGCTATCCCCTTGATGTGGCTGGTTGGGTGTAGGTCAGTGCTCCTCCTGAAGTCCACGATGAGCTCCTTGGTATTCTCGGTGTTCAGCTGCAGGTTGTTTTTGTTGCACTACTCAACCAGAGGTTTCACCTCCTCCCTGTAGGCACCGTGATACTGCAATTAGACTGTTGTTCCAATACTAATGCTCCAAAAATTATAGACTCAATTCTCAGTATGAAAAATAACATGAAATTAACTTTCAGTGACTTACCTTTTATTCTGCAACAAATGAACATTATAAAAATAATGAAAATAGCGAAAACTGTAACAAGTATAGAATGATCTGCACAAAAAAGAACACAAACAGATTAAAGTAAACACCTTGTGAGAATGATACACTTAAAGACTTTGTGAATTTTGTCAGACTATACTAGTTTGTATATTTAACTGGGTTTTGAAAAACACTTTTTTAGAAAGTGTTCAAAAGAGTCTAAAGAACAGCTAAGATTTTATCAAGATGATATTCATCTTAACATTTCCCCTAAATACTGAAAAAGTTAGAATAATATCTAAACTGATGTTGTGAATTTCAGTAGATGAAATTTTACTGTCAACAAGGCGCTAATAAAGATACAACCAGAGTCTTTCACAAGGAATTAAGTTTTTTGGAGGTATCGGTAAAATTATTAAAAGTCTTTACCCATTTAATAAATCTTTTATTGTACATATTTTATTTTATTTGAATTGTTGGAGGTGTGTTAGACAGTGAAGTTTAAAAAGCTCCTCTAAATATTGAAATCAGCAGTAAAGAGGATATTCACAAAATAAAACCTTGTTCAAAAAATGAATGATTAAATTGTTTCTGACCTCTTGTGCTTTTTCCACTATTGGTCCTGATCACAGTTCTATCCAGTTTGGTGATGGATTTCTCCTCATCAGAGAACAGAAACACACAATCATATCTATCCCAGTCTTCAGGTAAGATTGCTGAATTTTTCAGGGTAGCACTGATCTGGAAAGTCCCATCACAGTTTGGAAGGATTTCTCCATTATCCACATCTTTGTTTATCTTCTTTTCATCTTTTCTCCAGAACATAACAGCCTTTTTAGGGTAGAAACCTGTAGCGTGGCAGCTGACTGGAGATGAAGGAGTCTTTTGCAGCAAAGACACTGAAGGGAGAACTAAGGAGAGCAATTAGTGATGGAGATACAACTGATGCATATATCAGAAAATGGTTTTTTAGCATTATGAGTTGAAATAAAAAATAAATGCTGATTGAGCTTAAAAAAGGATTTGCTATAAAATCTTTTTGGTTTTAAAATCAAATAACATGAACTATAAAATTGTGTTTTCTATTATACAGTTGCAGTGGTTAATAATTTCTGTGATAACTGCCAGTCTATTTACATAAATAAAAGTAGCAGATAATTAAAGTCAGAAACAACTTGAAAACTAAAGAAAATTATTAAAAATGAATTGTAGAATCAAAAGTATGTATGCAGTATAATTAAATGAAGAATGTAACTTAGGCATGAAAGAAACAAAACTGTTCTTGTAAACTTACCTTTTCTATGCAAAAAAACGTTCCCATGTTTATGGAATTTATTTAACAAGTCAGGTAAAAGAATTTTGATTTCATCCCTCTGTGTTTTACAGTAATTTCTATCACTATTCCACTCCTTTTCAGCAAATTGAGCCTGTGGATTTATGGCAACCCATGTGGCAGTATCCATATCTAGCTTAATAAAGTCCTCTCCATTTACACTGTAATTTCGGTATCCTTCAACTTTTTGTGTCTCATTGTCCAATTCACAACGCATAATCTGCTGGACAACGTATACTGTGGAGAACAAGAACAAAAAAAGAAAAGGCAAAAAAATTAAATAAAATGTATAATTGAATCTGCACACCTGCAATTGTTTTTTTAATGGTAAGGAAATTACACAACAGTTAGGCACATAGTTTGAATATAGATTTATTTCTTAACACCAGATTTAATAATCTAAAGAAACAAATGAATGCAGTGCATCAGGAAGCACTTTCTCTATATTCATATACACTATATTGCCAAAAGTATTTGCTCACCCATCCAAATTATTGGAATCAGGTGTTCCAATCACTTCCATGGCCACAGGTGTATAAATTCAAGCACCTAGGCATGCAGACTGTTTTTACAAACATTTGTGAAAGAATGGGTCGCTCTCAGGAGCTCA